TTGTTTCGGAACATGCTTCACAACTCCTTGTTCAAGCTCTTGTTCTGTCCAGGCTGGACTATTGCAATGCTCTCTTGGCAGGTCTTCCAGCCAGTTCTATCAAACCTTTACAATTAATGCAGAACGCGGCAGCAAGATTAATTTTTAACGAGCCGAAAAGAACGTCACACCTCTGTTTATCAGAAAGAGGCACAAAATCACTTTCTCAGACTTTTAAATTAAATGTTCCCTCCATGTGGAATGACCTGCCCAACTCAGTCCGAGCAGCTGAGTCCTTTGCCATCTTCAAGAATAAGCTAAAAACACATCTCTTCCATCTTTATTTGACCCTCTAACCCTAGCACTCTCTATTCTAATTCTATTCTTTATTTAAAAAAAAAAAGTGCCCCTTTTAGACTTGCACTCTATTTACTTACTAACTGCTTGTTTTCTAAAAAAAAAAAACTAACTAAAACTAACACTTCTCTAATCTTTTTGCATTCTATTTGTTTTATTTTTATTTATTATACAATTATAATTCTGACTTTCTGACTTCTGATTAACAAAAGCAAAAAAGGCCTCTAACACTAGCTTGCTCTATTCTTTTTCTATACTATCCGTTTTATTTTTTATGTACTATATGATTAAAAAAAACCTTGCTACGTGTACTGCATTAAGCTAACTGAGACTTGTTATAGCACTTGCATATCATTGCTCTTTTGTTGATTTTGATTGCTTCCATTGTCCTCATTTGTAAGTCGCTTTGGATAAAAGCGTCTGCTAAATGTCTAAATGTAAATATGATGATATGTAATAATATTGTAATAATATAATAAGAAATAATATTGATATAACACACACACACACACACACATATATATATATATATATATATATTCTAAAATAATTCTATGTTTTCTATAATTTAAATTCCTTTTTCTAATTTGGGTAATGGTATTTTGACATATCTTTGTTGTGACATAAAAAAATATAAGCACATTAAAATTACAAAAAATAATTACAGAAAAAAAAATCCTTAAATTATTCATGCATATGCTGTTGAATTGTTTGAATTGTCTGGAGCTTATAAATAAACACAAAGGAAATAAGAAACAAGAGTGCAAGCTACCTTTTCCCATGTACTCAGTGACTATGTAAATTGGCTCCTCAGACACTACAGCATACAGGGGCACCAGCTTGTCATGCCGAAGCTTCTTCATGATCTGTGCCTCCTGCAGGAAGGCTTCAGGAGACATGGTGCCCGGCTTCAGTGTCTTTATAGCTACTTTAGTCGTGCCATTCCATGTACCTAGAAAAATAAAGAAAAAATGAGAGTGCAGAAGAAAGCATTGACAGTGTTTTTCCACAAATGAGAATTTGAAAACCTCCACTGCATTCAGCCTTTATCTTCAGAAACATTTGTTGAAACGGCTGAATGTTCAGACAATTCAAAGACTAAAAAACACTGTGTGCAATCTGGGTACTAATTCAGAAGAAGCAGAACTGAAGTGTTAATTCTTAAAATTGACACAAAATTTACAAGTGAACAAAGGTAAAACATAAAAATCCAGAGTAAATAGCCTACGTATTTGAGAAATATCAGAAAGGAGGTAGGCAAAATCAGTGAAGAAAAATGGGAAAATCAAGAGTTTAAAGTAAACAAGCTTTGTGGATTCTAGTGACACTACTATCAGCTGTTTGGACTAGATTGTACAAGCATTTGCTTTTAGTTTGGACACATTCTGATGGTACCCATTCACTACAGAAGATCTATTGGTGAGCAAGTGATGTAATGGTAAATTTCTCCAAACCTGTTTTGAGGAAGAAACAAACTCAGCTACATTATTTATGGCCTGAGGGTGAGTACATTTTCAGCAAATTTTTATTTTTGGGTGAATTGTCCCTTTAAGAAATAAAAAAAAAACAAGGGAAGAATGTCACTTTGCCAGTCCTGTTTTAAGACCGTTTTAAGAAAACAGTTTAAACGGCAATGACACAGATTGCCAGCTGATGACAAATCCGTTATGTGGAACTGATAATAATATCAGTTATTATGCATGTTGAAACAAACATACACGCACAATAAGTAAAATTCCCAATATTGTTTCCTATGATGTGGCATGCTGGAGCTTGCAGCGTGACAAGATTTAAGAGCAGTGATAAAATACAAAGGATCGTAATAAACCACACCACTCTCTAGTACGTAAACACTTAAATCCTGTGGTGCATTGGTGAAAACAACAGATATAAATGAAATTCATAGTAGATGAGAGTGGGGTAAGATGTGTCAGTGGGCATCTTAATCTAGTAATTTGTGCATAATTTTTGTCAAGTTGATTTTTATTTAGCCATAAAATATCAACTGAAGCATTTGTGACAAAATGTTGGCTGTGGGGTAAAGTGTGCCAGGTGCTTTGGGGAGTGAGTTTGAGTGTATTATATGCACATTTGTCTTACCCATCCAGACTTCTCCGAAGCAGCCCTGACCCAGCTTGAGCTCTAGACGCAGTGAATCTCGTGGGATTTCCCATGCATCTTTAGCCAGACCCTGAGTCTGGGGCTTCACCGTCGGACACACTGTGGTCAGTCGGTAGCACAGCCCATCCGCATGCTCTACACACACAAACACACACACATAAGAGTGATCTCAAATACATTGGTCATAAACCCTGTGTGGATGGGACTAGTTTTCCCTGAGGATGTCAGTTAAATTACACCTAACACCCAGACAATAGACACTCCCTTAATAAAAACAACTGGATATCAATCCTGTCTAGATCAGTACATAATGTCCTGTGTTAATAACTGTATCTCAAAGAAACGTTTAAAAAAAATTGTATAGTGAGTGAGAAAAGTATTGAGCAAAATGAACAGATACAATTCTGAATTAAAAAAGTTGTGTGATATTTTCACAAAATTCATAAAACAGGGGGACCATTAAAGAACAAGACTACAAAATGACCTGGGTGAGGGCAAAAGTCATTAATTCATCACTTATCCAGCCATGAAGCACATTAATCACTGTCTTTCAACCAAACGATTAAAATCTTTACGAAGCGGGTCACACAGAGAGAGCCAGACAAGGACTGATGGCCTTTCATTAAGCCTTGACATTCTTCAGATAAGATGAATCTGAACAGCAAATTTGTTACTTTAACTGGCCCTCGGGTCTGTGACAGGTTGCATGAAATGTCTCACAGAAAACAACTAAATCCACTTATCACTGGGAATTTAAACATTTAATTTCAAAATCATAGACATGATTTTTGGCAAGATTTTTACCAACTTTGCTATGGGGATTTACTCCCATTTGGAATTGGGATTTACCCTACTGTTCAAAAGTCTGGGTCAGTAAGATTTATTTATTATTTATTTATTTTTAAAGAAATTAATATTTTATTCAGCAAGGATGCATTAAATTTGTGATAGAAAGACTTCTATCACAAATAAATGCTGTTCTTTTGAACTTTCTCTTCACCAAAGAATCCTGAAAAAAAAAGGTACCATGGTTTCAACAAAAATACACAACTATTTTTAATATGGATAAAAATAACAAATGGTTCTTTAGCACCAAATCAACATATTATGGTTCCTGAAGGATCATGTGACCCTGAAGACTGGAGTAATGACTGCTGCAAATTCAGCTTTGCCAAGTTACATTTTAAAATGATTAAAATATAATAAAAAAAAAAAATTGTAATATTTCCTAATATTACTGTTTTACTGTAATTGATTAAATAAATGCAGGCTAGGTGAGCATAAGAGGCTTCTTTCGATTTTCTCAATATTTAGATTTTTTTGCACCCTCAGATTCCAGATTTTCAAATAGTTGTATCTCTCTCTCTCTCTCTCTCTCTATATATATATAAACTTACTAACCCCAAACTTTTGAATGAAACTAAACTGTTAAAATAAAACTAAATATTTTTTTAAATATTGTTTCACAACAAAGAATGTGCTTTTATGTTCAGAAACAACTAAATGGAGTGCAACAGATTTTAAGAGCAAAATGTGTTTTTAAAATCGAGTGTATTTTTAAAACAACAAAAACTGAGCTGGGCTTTGTGGAGGCCAGTCAAGCTCTTCCATATTAAACTCGGTAAACCATTTCTATATGAACCTCTCTTTGTACACGGTGCATTGTTAAGCTAGAGCTGAATAGGGACACCTTGTTTTACTGTAAATGTTTGTCTAAGGAGATTGTATGGCTGTATGATTGATTTTATGGACCTGCTAGCAATGAGTATAGCTGAAAAACCAAACCCTTTGATTAGAACTGTGTCTGTATACTTTTTGCCAAGTAATCCTGCTTTGAGATTTCAACCGCTGAGGTAAACATAACATTGGGTTGACAGCTTGACAAAAACAATTAAACGAATCTGATGGTTTTTCTTTGTGGGGACTGACGTCAGCTACAACAACAGCACTGTGGCAGGACGCTCACGTAACGTCTCATAAGATCAAAGAGGTGTCGATGTCAAAAGCCCTCTCAGACGTTCTCCTGTGGAAACTAGGCCAAGATTAACTGACAGTCTGAGTGAACAGGGACGTGTTTCTCACAGCAGATGTCAGGCACCTGTTAGTGCTAGTCACAGTGAGACCCCTAAGCTTCAAATCACCACCCTGCCATCTCCACATGACTGGTATTCAGGACCTCTGTCCATTTGAACTGAAAGAAGATACAAGAAAATATTGTTTGAACTGAATGTGCTAACCTGTGTAATGCTTCACCAGCTTCTGTAGAGTGTCAAACTGAGCTCTTGTGGTGATGTAATAGCCTCCGTTGTCAAGCTTTCGGATTTTGTAGTGTTTCACGTTGTCTCCCTTCATCTCATCCCAGTCCCGTATTGAAAGAGAGTAAGCCCCTGCCAGGAAGAGAGGGAGGAATGGATTCAAAATATTTCTGCTTTGGTTTGTTTTTGAGTACAAGTGCTGTGCACGTCTTAAGGCAGATAGCGATTCACTTACCTTTAGTGGTCTCACTTTCTCTGGCCAAAAAAGTGCCCCGCTGGTTTCCGGGAACCAGTCACACACTGTATATAAAAAATAAAAATAAAAAACACCAACCATGGATTATTTCAGTACATACTACCATTCATAAATTTGGGGTCGGTACAACATTTAAGTCTCTAATGCTACATTCATTTGGCCAAAAATATGGTACAAACAGTAATAATGTGAAATATTACTAGATATTATTATTAGCAATATTAGATTACATTAAAAAAAATTCTATTTTAATGTATCTTAAAATGTAATTAATTCCTGTAATGGCAAAGCTGAATTTTCAGCAGTCATTACTCCAGTCTTCAATGTCACATGATCCTTTGGAAATTATTCTAATATGCGGATTTGGTGCTCAAATACTGATTTGGTGCTCAACTATTTGTTATTATCATTAAGGTTGACAACACTTGTTTTGCTTAATATTTTTGTGGAAACGATTATATTTTCAGGATTGTTTAATTAAATGTTTAAAATTTCTGTCAAAAAAATAAATAAAATAGCGTTACTGACTCCAAACTTTTGAACAGACTTGTATCTTGAAGTGTATATGAAGGATTTCAAATTTGTTATCTTAATATTTTTCCTAAAGCGGTAAAAAATAATTAAGGCATATTTCCACACTATTTTTACTAAATGAACAGTGAAGAATGGTATTTAATCATGTTCATTCATTTGAATTTCTATGAACCGATAAAGATATCTTCGCTACAACATTATATATGAAAAAAAGACACACAAAGACTTTTACAAACAAATCAGAACTGACTATTTTAACCCAGAAAATATATATATAAAAATCTTTCATGAATGAATATGGTGATGAAATATTGGCTACATTTAAAGGACATTTTTGTCAAGTCAAAAACTGACTCAAAACTGTAAAACTAAACACTGCTATTTTTTATTCTGCAAATGTTTTAACCAAAGAATAAAAGCAAATGCTTGTACAATCTGGTATAACAGAAAAAAGGAGGAAAAGAACAAGAGTAATATGTGTGAGAAGGAGTAACACTGAAAGAGAAACAGACAAAGTTTGTATCTGAAAAAGAGAGAGGCTTTTGTCTCGCAGTCACGCGTTTGTTGGTGTGTTTGTCAGCACCAGCGTTCTGGGCGAACGTGTGACCGGCCATCACGCTCTCTTAATTACGGTGTGAAGGGATGAGATGATTGGATAAGCACAGGAGGAGAGGAGTTACTTACTCTTCCGCTTGGATGGAGTCTGCAGGGGCCACGTAATTGCTGGGAATGTAGCCTTTCTGCCCCGTGTTGATGGAACGAGCCTCCCACCAGTCTCCTTCTCTGTGGGCCGAAGCAAAAGACACAACCGAGTTATCAGGTTCAAGTCCTTCACTGCAAACTGAAAACAATTTAGCAACAAGCGTCTGAGGGCCGTGTTATCAACAAATTAAAAATGCAGGGAAGTGAAGGAATTTGAGGTGTATGATTAAAACATCAGGGTCATTAAATTGGGAAAAATTTGAGCTGTGAGCATTTACTGAAAGCTAAACCTGGCTGGTGGATGAACAGATGGCCCATTATAGAAACGCATTAACCCAGACAGATTTCGCCCTCGATGAACTTGGAATACAATGATGGATTAAAAAAGGAAATAAATAAATATATCCCACCAAATGTAAATTCTTGTAGCTGGATTATCTTTCACATACATATATACTCAAAATATGTCGCCCCGGAGTGGATATGGGCGTACGAGAAGTTGAGGAACTCACGTGTTGTTGATGATCTGAAATCTATCGCCTTTCTTGAAGGAGAGGTCATCTGATGTCCTGGCTTCATAATCATATAAGGCCACAAAGAAAGTTACACCGCCTGCAAGAAAAATCAATTTGGGTTGTGTAAAGACGCAAATCACAGGCTCAGACAAGCAATACTATAATAGTACGCTAATAGCTAGTTAGCTGCTCCCAAGTAACTTAATTTTTCATTCGAAATTGTGGCATCAGATGCTATTTCAGCCACATAATAAAGTTTAGTTAAGCCTTTATAGACATGCTGAATGACGTGTCCATTGATTTTTGTTCCCGGCTTGGTCGGCACTGTAGTCAGTTATCATTAGCCGGCTTGCTCTTTGTCTTCACTACATCAACAATGGGATTTTCACCAGCATGGGTTATGGATGGCAGAGCTGAGATGGTTTTGAGTGGGAGGGAGGACAAAAGGAGCAGGTTGGATTAAACCTAAGCAGGCCCCCGAGACCAGATTATCCATTAGTGAAGAACAGAGGGTCGACCCGCTGATTACATCCGCTATGCCACACACACTGACAGGCACACACAGATCTGCCAAGTCAAGAAGTCTAACGGGTATGACGTGTGTTTCTTCTGTTTAGCTAATAAATTGGATCAGGTTTGAACCTGTTGGTAAAGTGTCAATGATGAGTAATTAGGGTTGTTGCAATAGCAAAACTGTAGTCGATACTGCTACCTGTAAAATTTCTCTACAGCAGAAACTTCTCTATAGCAACTACAATACACAGTAATTGCAAATATAAATATATATAAAAAACATTAACACTATTGTATTTATGTAATCATATATTTAAAAAATTATGTTGGTAATTATATATAATTAGAGAGAGTAAAGTGTTCATATGTGTGTGTGTGTGTGTGTGTGTGAGAGACATATCAAAGATAATTTGATATAACAAAATAATAAAAAATACTAAATTAAATTCAAACACATTGAATGTAGTCTCAAAGTACCACAGTTACGTAAACATGGAATATTTTTGCCAAGTAATAAAGTCAACAGGCAGCAATAAAGAACAAAGAAATAACAGCAACCAGCAGTTTTCTCGTTTATTTAGTCAATCTTGTTGATCAATATCAACATAATAGACAAGATAGAAAATAGATTTTCACTCTAGAGACAATTTCCACCAGGCCACACTGGATTTAGCATTTAAGCAAAGGCTATCAGATCAAATGTTGCCTGAAAAAGCAGATTCATGAACAGCATTTGCCCTGTGACAAGACATGATGTGATAATTACACTATTTACAACCCAACTGAATAAAAACTGTGCCGTTCACAGAGAACACACAAAGATCGAATTATTTGACTTTTCTACTGTAGACACATATCGCATTTATACCCAGCCTCTTGGAGTTAGTGAGAGAGAGACTTGGTATCAAGAGATCTCGTCACAGCACTGCCTGAAGCAGAACAGAGAAATTACCACTGAACAAAGAGGAATAAATCACATTAGTTCCCCTCGCATTTATTTAGGCCTACTACAACTGCAGTTTGTAATTCTGATTAAATGAAACATACTGGATATATTGTTTTAGAGTTCTCATTTACATAACATCTGGCTTCCATGAACTCTATCTTTCCATAAAAGCGCTTACATACGCAAACAAAACGCCAAACACAACCTTTATCCTCATGATGACCCTGAGCTATTGAATCTGCTAGGAAGCTATAGATGCCATATTTCATTTGACATGAACAAAAATAAGGCTGTGAGGGATATATATATATATTGGAATTAAAATCGGCCTACAACTCTCTCTCTCTCTATATATATATATATATTATATATACACACACACTTATTTAAAATTTTACATACACTTTGCAGTATCTGCAAAATGTTAGTTATTTTACCAAAATCAAAGGGATCATACAAAATACTCATACGCAAAGGTTCAAATGGTCACTGACGCACCAGAAGGAAACATTTTTTTTTCTTATTTTGCCCAAATATCATATTTTTTTCATTTAGCACTGCCCATCAGAAGCTACAGAAGATACTTACATGTTTCCCAGAAGACAAAATAAGTTCAATTTACCCTGATCTTTAAATTCAAAAAGATTTCACCTCCAGGCTCTTAATGCATCGTGTTTCCTTCTGGAGGATCAGTGAGTGTTTGAACCTTTTGTAATAGTTGTATATGAGTCCCTCAGTTGTATTCAGTGTGAAAAGATGGATCTCAAAATCAAACAGTCGTTGTTGGAAAGGATTCAAATACGCAAAAGATGCTGGAAAACCAACGAATTTGTGGGACCTGAAGGATTTTTCTGAAGAACAGCAGGTAGTTTAACTGTTCAGGACAAACAAGGGACTCATGAACAACTACCACAAAAAACAAAAAAAAACAGCTGTGGATCATCCAGGTAACAACACAATATCACAGAATCAAGCGTATGTAAACTGTTGAACAGGGTCGTTTTTATAAACTCAACTGTAATTTTTTTTTTCTTGTGGACTATATGTAAATATCTTTTATGTGAAATATCGTATTCAGTTCAGTACTAAATAAAAAATAACATTCATTTTGTATGATCCCTCTTATTTTGCTAAAATAAATTTGACCAAAACTGTGTGTGTGAGTATGTATATATATATGTGTGTGTGTATGTGTTAGAATTTAGAGCAGGAAATATACAAAAAAAACAAATATATATATATATATAGTTATTTATTTATATTTATATTTATCCTTCACATATTTTGTATATAGCTCTAGGGCTCACAAAACCTGGAATGGAGAAATGTCAAGATCCATGAGGTCAGATCTGGTATCAGGCATCTGATATGGTTTCTTAGGAACTCTTGTTTCCTTAGAAAAAGCTACTTCAGAGGTACAGGCAGAGCTCTTATCGCTCGTCCACTCACCTGTGACGGCACCAGGGAAGGGGTTGCTCACAGCAACAGTGGAGAAGGAAGAGGAGGCGGCTCCACCGAAGGGTGTGATGACAGAGGAGGAGCCACCAAACGGAGTGAGCCCAGTTGTGCGGCTGTTGTAGTTGTTGGTGGGGCCCTTCAGGGCAGGTGACTGGCCCATCTGAGTGGGGTCTGGTCCGTAGAGACCCATGTGTGACCCAGGGGTGGGATTGGTGGGATCTGGTCGGTACTTCTGTGTAGGACCCTTGTCCTCTTTACTCTTGACACAGCCCATAGTCAAGCCTGTGGAGAGATGAGTTAATATTGACCAGCTCTCAAGGCATTTTTGCAAAAGGAATGCAATCTTGACCTATCACAGCAATTGCAACACTTTATGGCTACAATCAAATTAATGTAAAACAAATCACACCAGACTGAGATTCCCTGAGAGAGACTCTTTGACTTGGTTATTGCACACAATGGACCCTTTTCATAGACTCTGATGTGATGACGCATTTCCACGTTATTAACATGATCAAGAAACATTTCATATTATTATCAATGTTGAAAGGAGTTACTACTTAATTTTTTTGTTAAACTGTGATTCTATAATAAATAGAAAGTTCAAAGGAAATGCATTTATTTGAAATAGAGCTGCAACAACTAATCGATAACAATAAGTAATCGACAAAGAATTTGATTAGCGCACAGAAAACATTTGCCGAACATTTGCCGAAAACATCATGTCACTTTACAGCAATGAATAATGCATTTCTATGGACAAAATCCGTAGAGCATACAGCAGAATAGTTTTCTCAGCACGTAAGTTGCTTTTCACATTTGTATCTTTATCTGTAAATGACAGAAAGCTACACAATTATTTCCATTTTGCTTGCAGGCCAATCATGAAAGCTAGCGGGTCTCCGTAACTTCACAGTCTTCACTGAATGAGCACTGACTTAAAACATTTTGATCAAATATTTCTTGTTAGACATTAAACATAAGTTTAAAATTCTACATGCAACACAAGTAATTGTATTTTTATGAGCAGTAACAGTAAAGAGACTTAAAGGCATTCATGGATGTAAAAATAATGTAATTACCATTGCTATTACTATGTTCGTATACTATTACTAATGTAATTAGTATGTTCAGATGAGTGTGTCTTCCTCGTACCAGTTAACATTTAGTCTGTTTTTGTTTTAATTTAGTGAATTAGTAAGCAAGTAGGTTTTTTTTTTGTTCATTTGTTTTGTTATAGAATGTTTATTTAAGCCTTTTTTGCACATAATGCATATAGTCTACATAGATACTTTCACTATAATTGTTTACATAACCTTCAAATTGCAAATTGTTTGGAGGACAGAATTGGGCAGCATGTGGAATAACATTTTTAATAACGAATTAAAATGAATTGTTTTTATAATAAAATGTTTACATTTTAATTATAATATTTAGATTTAGATTTATTTAGATTTTTTTATCAGATTAATTGAAGAGATGATCGATAGCTTAATCAATTATCCAAATAATCATTAGTTGTAGCCCTAATTTGAAAACAGAAATCTTTTCAGCATAAAATGATCTTTTCTGGCATTTTAACATGCCACTGATTAATAAAGCAGGAGGGCAATACCCTCGCAGGCAGAGCTTCAGAGAGATGACAGTATAATCTCCAGACGCCCTGTTCACTGCTTGTGTTTCTGCCAGGACTCGTTGTCTGGGCTGCACTCGGCACGACGCAGGCACACATGTGCAGGGGAATGAGGAATGAGAATGTGGCCTTGAAGGAACAGGTGGCCCTGAGAGGAGGGTTACAAGACACAGCAGGGCCACTGCACAGGGAACACAGATAGCTGGGAGAAACAGACGATGACAGACAACAAGATATATAGAGCAACAGTCGTTTTGGAAGTAAAAATCTCATTCATTTCCTCCATAAGGGATTTTTATATTTTGAAAGAAGACTTCAAAGAAAGACCTACTGGGAGCTACCAAGTTGTTTATCAAAGGTATCTGCTTTTGTTGAAGGCATCAGGCATCACTGTATCAACTTACCATGTTCCTGGTGAGAAACTACCAATCAGAGAATAAAAACAAGCAACTCACAAAAAGTACTGTTTAGTATTCCTATGCACTCAAACAAATTGGTGTAAAAATAATTTTCGCTCAGAAATTGCAAGTAAATTTCACAAATAATTACAAAAACAAGTAAATAACACACTGAATGTAAGATGAAATTTTTAAGAAGAAAGACTGAAATAGTATTTTTTTGCTAAATGTAATCCAATATTCTTTTAGTTACAATTTTACAGTTAAAATTTGTAATTCACCTTGTAGCTGTGTCAGAAATGAACTTTTCCATTAAGGGGCAATATTTGCTCCCTGGAATTGATTTCCAGGTGCATTTATTTATTTATTTATTTTTTTAACATTTTTATGGTAAATTTTTATAATTAGCTTTTATAATTACCATTATTAATTGTATCCATGCTGTTTTAATGTCAAATACTTAAATTAACCAGAATATTTTAAACTGTTACCAATAACAACAAACTATTTAAAACTGTATATAAATTATACATTTAAAAAACCGAACTCATTACAGGGTAGGGCTGCAATATTATGACAAAAATTACTATTGTCGATTATTTAAGCTGCAAAATGGATCCCTTACTTACATCTTTTCTTGCACTCCGTTGTTTATGATAAGAGAATTTACGAGTGCACATGAGCGCATGCACAAAACTCCAGTGTTTTCAGCACTGATAATCGAAATGCTTCTGATTGGCCAATGCATTCAAAAGCTCAACAGAAACATGTATGATTGGTTATAATGCTCAATGCTGCAAAAAAACACTGCATAGAATGCAATCTGATGCAATGTGCATAGCCCTAAATGCAATTTTGCAAACTGACACTTTTCATTCATTTTCATATTTCATTTTAATCGCAACAGCCGTAATAGATTTAATTTGCGTAGGAGCAATTTTTGCCTCTTTATCTTGAATTTGAGGGGGATTTTTGTTCAATTTGGTGCCATTTTTGCCACAAGCCCCCATTCATTTCCGACCCTGCCTCATAGCTGCCTGGTTTGGTTCATGGCTTGTAACTCGTAATTAAAAATCCCTATGGGGAAAATACTTACGTAACCAGGGCTACAGAAAAACTGGGTGGCCTCTGTTTAACTTTATAGAAGGGAGTATTTCAGGGTTTGAAAATGGAAAAACTCAAGCAAAACAAAGTACTGAAGAGTGGTTGAGCTTGTGTGTTTAGCTTGAAGTAGGCCGAACATGTCCTGACACGGGAGCTGTACCTGCCCCCCTTGACCCTGTGAGGAAAACGCTAGAAAGGTGTCACCTCTTCAGGACAGGATAAGCCAATGACAGGTGCTTGTAAACACGCCAGCATGGGCTTTAATCAATCCTAGCTCTGAGAAGCGGTGGACAGGAAGTAACTGGAGAAAGATCTGACCTCTGATAGAGTCATATAAAGCTCAGCACTACATCATCTGCTTCTAATACCCATAATGTAATTTCAAAGACTGGGCCCGAGGGGACTGTGGCATCCTTTCAATGAGGAGAACATTTATACATACCCCTGACAGATGAGCTTCAGTCAATTCAACCTTGACCTCTGCTAGAATCTTCAAGCCTAAGAATCGTTTACAAATCTGATCTAAACTGAGAGCAAGCGACATGATGCCAGTGAAACTACACTGCTCCCATTATAATTGCAAAAGTGACGTCACATGCCTGCAGTGGACACTGATTTGTGGAGCGTGACGGGAGCAATTTAGTTTTGTAGCATCACTCTCTGTGCCATTTGCTCTCAATGTGGACACAGTGTAAAAAATAATGTTGTTGGATTCAGACTAATAATGGAGAACCAAGCATGTGGTCTCTGAACACAATCTAAGCTTTGTATAGAGCTGCTTAGTGCTCAGTGTGTGACAAGCACTGAGTGGCTGAGAGTGGGGTTGTCATGAGATCAAAACTTCAGTAGCCAATACCAGCAAAATTTCAATTCCCAATTTTGATACCACTCCTATTAAACAAAACTAAAAGTGGCACCAAGTGTTCAAAACTATACACACACACACACACACACACACACACACATGTACATATATATATATATATATATATTAATTCTGCATTTACACTGGAAAGTCTAATACACAGATCTGATATTTTGACATATATCCAATTTTTGTCCCACCAACAATTACATAAGATTTTCCATTGACAGCCCTTTGTATTACCAATACTGCAGAAACACTGGTATCATTGTTTTTTTATAACATATTAGTGCTGGCGGTTTGACCAAAAATCTGTATCATGCAATTGAATATTCTGGCCGTTTCATGTCACTGTATTTTTCCTTTTCATAACTGAACCTTTATATAGGTTTAGAGTGCATTATTATTATTATTGTGGAAATCATAGGGCTCTACGTGGAATTTCCATGTTAAGGAGAGAGTAAGTTGTGTTGGTTATTCATTGTTGTGTTATAAAGTCATAACCATGAGTACAAAAAGAGTATGCAGTTAATAGTTGTCCTATCTCAATACACTCTAAACAGTGCTCTTTATGGCCATTTAATCGATACAGCGATAGTTTCACCTATGCACCGTTATGGCGATATTTGAAAAATACATATGTGAAATCAAAACCTTTATACCAGATTAACCGGTATACCATCACCCACTAAAACATAGCTTTAACGGTACTTTATACATCCCTATCTCGGAAACATAAGGACGCCCTCCAAATCTATTAAATGGCTCACCTCCCCCGTCGTGTACTTCTAGAGATTATCATATTGTAAAGAGCACAGATCATCACCACAAGTACTCAATTTGGGTAGGGTGGGTCTGCTGTTAAGAAAGCTCTTTATTTGAAAAGCAGCATGAGTGACAGAGAGATTGACATGAGAGCATATTTCAGCAAATGGGTGAAAGAGAGACAGAGGATTGGAAGAGAAAAGGCCGAAACAAAGTAGTTTGCAGATGTGAGGATTATTGGCAAACAATGGGATGTCTGTGCCTATAGAGGGTTGAAAGAGCATTAACAGTGTGTACACATCAGTGACATGGACGAATGGACCCTATTCTCTATGCTCGGATGAACTCTGCACTGTACATCCATGTACATTCACACACACACACAGCTTGTCTGAAAGTGGTGCAAGATGGGTCATATATTCAAAACAAATGAAGTCACTAAAACTTGCTCAGCAATCAGGGTTGGGACAACAAGTATTTAAGAGAAAGCTAGGAGGGTCAAGGAACATCTTAGGCC